TCCTTCACTTGTAGACAGTCGTCTTTTTCCTGTTTTGTTTCACACTGTCTTCCTTGTCTGTGTGTCCAAATTTCCTCTTCTTATAAGGACATAAGTTATATTGTATCAGGGCCCACCGTAATGCCCTTGTTTTTTCCTAAATGACCACTTTAAAGACCCTATCTCTAAATAAGGCCACATTCTGAGATACGGGGGATAAAATGCAGCCCATAACAGAGGGTTCTTTGCAGTGAGTCATTTTTTAGAACAGCAAAGGATGGGGGATTTTGCAACCATTGCTGTTTTGGAGGACCACAGGGCTTGAGTAAAGTCCAAAATTTTCAGTGGGCAGCTGGGTCCAGGAGCAGGGGAGCTGGAGGTGCGAGGGCCAACACATTCAGGGGACTGAGCTTCAGGGACAGAAGGCCTTGAAGACAGGCCCCGTTCCAGGCTCTATGAGGAGAGGGTAGGGTCTGGAGGGAGATGGTAGCCTCGAAAGGGGCTTCCCTCAGATTACAGTGGGAAATGACTCCGGGAGCAGAGGGCTCACTCAGGCAGAGGCCGGACAGGACCTTGGGGGCCATGGCTCAGGGCCCCCAACAGCAGGGGACTGGAGCCCACACTGCAGGCCCAGGGAAGCAGGTGGCCAACCTGCATTGGGGGAAGGAGCCAGGGGCCTGGGTGATGTCCTTTCTTTCTTTCCAGATTATTGTACTCGGGGAGGGGCCGGAGGGCTGGAAGCAGGGTAGCCTCCAGGGGCTTTGTTCTTCTGCACCAGGCCCTGCTCTGGCCTCTGAGGCCAGAGGGCCCACTTCTAAGGCCCATCTTGGGGCAGACTGCCCAGGGTGTGGCCCTTCTCCTGTCAACCTGTCTTGGAAGGGGCCGGGAAAGGGACTGTCCCACAGCACCTTCCTCTTCATGGAAATGAGCATCTATATACATTCTCCAAGAGTAAGTGACACACAGTCCCGGAACAGGTGGAGCCCAGGAGTCCAGAAAGGCCACCAAGAGGGGGCTGGAGAGATGAGGGAAGCCGCAAGGGGTCGCTGCTGTGCCTTTAGCTTGACCTTGTCATTCCCATCAAAGTACAACAAGGGAATGGCATGGATTTGCTTCCCAAAAGAGCTTAAAATAGGACAAAAAATTAAATTCTTCCCTCCACAGACCCGAAGGGGCAGGCTTGAAGACAGAACCTCTCCAGGCCTCTCTGCTCAGGGGTAGGCATGAGAACGGAACTCAATCAAACTTCTCTGATCAGTGAAGAGACCTACTCAGTGGACAGACTGAGGGAGGGAATCTCTCTTATTACTCTCTGCTAAGGGGACAGGCCTGAAGATGGAGCCTCATTCAGTTTTCTCTGATCAGGGAACAGACTTGAACACAGTCCTCACACTAACTCTTCTGATCAGAAGTCCTTGATCTCTCTCAGTCCTCCATTTAGAGACAAGCCTGAGAAAGGGAGCTCCCTCAGTCCACTCTTCTCAGGGACAGCCCTGTGGATGGGCCCTCCTCAGTCCTCTCTGCACGTCCTCACCCACCAGGACTGGGTTGTTTTCGAGCTGTCCCACCTGCTGCTGGAGCCCTCAGTGAGCCGGGGAGGATCCTCTTGGTGGGTAGGCTCAGCTCACCCCTTGGCGCCCGATAAATCACCTTGTAGCACCTTAGTCTCCCCAGGCTGCACACATTTCTCAAAAGAAGACATAAAGATGGCTGACAGTTATATGAAAGCATGCTCAACACCACTTATTATCAGGGAGATGCAAATCAGAACCACAATGAAAGATCATTTCACACCTTCTAGAATGGCTGACACACAAAGACAAAAAAATAATAAGGATTCCAAACCCCATCTGTCCAGACCCTGTGCTCACACTCATGCAGTGACACACATGCTCACACTCAGTGACATTGCCACACATTCACATGCTCAATCACACACACACATGTTCAATGATATTCAGTGACATATCCATTCAGTCACACACATTCAGTGACATGCTCACACTCAGTGACACACATGCTCACATTCATTCAGTGACACACACATTCTGTGACACTCAACACATTCATGCATCTTCAATGACAAACACAAATTTGGTGACACACATATTTACATTGGGTGACACTTTCACACTCTCAATGTCATACACGTTAATGAGTGACACACACCCCTCCTCACAATCATTCAACACATCCCTTTCACACACACACAGACACACACACTCCCAGGAATTCATACGCGTACACATGTTCACACGGACACACACATCCACAGATTCATTCGCAGGGAAACACACGCACACTTTGGCACTTGCACCTGCTCGGGGATTGCAGCACTACCAGGTTTCTCTGAATAAGGGAGTCCCAAGGAGCCCCCGCAGGCCGTGGTTGGTCACCTCTCCTATTCCCTTCCTCGCCTCCTGCCCCCACATCTAGAGGGCTCTGGGAAGGTGACTGCTGTTGCAGTCCTGCTGAGACACGTGCAATGACATGCCTCGCCTGAAGAGGGCTGGGTCAGTGGAGCACACCTGGGACCCACCCGTTCCTGCAGGGCACCCTGGTGGGACACGCTCCAAGAGTCCCCAAGACACCGGCTGAGCCCCTTTGGGCCAAGGAAGCTGCAGGCGGGGCCCTGGGACCTAGCCCCTCCCACACCCCTCTCCATTTCCCCCATGCCTGTGTGTGCACAGTGTCCCTGAGGACCTTCTCCTCTCTCCAGCCCCGTCGTCTGCAGTTCTGGTTGTGAAACCAGGGTCACCCAGTGCAAGGTCCCTTAACCCAGTTTGGCAGCCATTAAGTTCTCGGGCCTGACTCCGTGGCTGCTTTGGGGATCGTGTCCTTCAACTGCACCGTGGGGATAGTCTGAGGCTCTGTCCCTTCGGAATGGCTGGAGGATACCTGTGGGCACAAACCAAGAGCCCGAGAGCCACAGGTCATTTCCACGTTAGTGGTCCCATCCAGTCCTCCCACATGGGCAGAGAGGGGCCCATCCGCTGGTCTTGGTCCCGTCTCCCACTCACTCTAGGTCAGTTCTGCAGCTGAAGGAGGCTGCCCGTGATCTGTGGTGCGCTCCCCGGCCTGTAGGGACAGGGTTGGTGCCCAGAGGATTCAGGAGAAGGGCTTCCAGACTCCTCACCAGAGCCGACTACGGCCCTACTCCCAACTTCCCCTCCAGCCACAGTGCTCATGGAGGGTGCCTCTGGATGTGCCCTGCGCCCCAGGCAGGGTCCTCCTCAGGTCGCATCGAGGGTTTGGTAGGCTCTAAAGACCCAGGACAGAAAGAGACTATACCCACGGGCAGCCTCCCCTCATGGCCCACCGGCTGCCCCTCACAACCCGCTGGGAAGGGAACAAGACCGGACCCAGGGTGGAGGGTACTCTCCCCGCCCCCATCTGTTCCTTGGCCATCACACACACCCCTCTCCCCAAACATCCCTCCGTGTGGCTGGGCCAGGGCTGGCCACCTGTCAGCTGGCAGGGGTGGGCCAACCCAGGTGGCTGGGCACTAGTAATCCCACCCTCCCCCAAGTTCTGCACGAAGCTCCTGGCTGGCATCTGAGCCCCTGCCCAGGCCCTCCGGGGACCCTTCCCTGACCTTGTTTTCCAGCCTGGGATGGCACACATGACTCCTCTGGCCCTCCTGGAGGCTCTGAGCCCCTTCGTGATGCTGTCAGGGGTTCTGCCTCCGACTTTCGACCCATTGAGCCCTGAGGGCTCCTGAGGGCCCAACCAGCTACTGTCCATGCCCACCACCACCCTCTCACCTGCCCCTATGCAGCCCAGGGGACCCACAGGCGCTCACGGCCCCTGCCAACAGAGGAGGTAAGTCTCGGCTGCGATGTGGAACAAAATTTATTGAAGAGAAACAAAATTTATTGAAGAGAAACAAGTATTGAAACCAGTGAAGACAAGGGAATACAACATGGAGAGGAGCGGCTGAGGGCCACCAGAGGCCATGGGGCTGCAGCCCCCTCCTCCTGGGGCTTGTGACAAGATCCTGCCCTCGCACCACGTTCTTGCTTCCTGAGGGGAATGGGATCGGCCTCTGGGTGGGACAATGGACTCTGACAGTGTCCACATACTGCAGGGAATCCCCTCCCGGGCCCACCCACAGGGGCAGGCCCAGCTCTATGACCAGCATGGAACAGTCATGGAACACTGGAGAACAAAGTATGGAACACTCCACCAGGTCAAGAGAATAAAGTCACACACACAAAAATAACAGTCCCCGTGGAGCCTTCCACAACACCCTTCCATCCCTGGTCTGGGGCTTCCTCCTCATGGTCAAGGTCAGTCACGGGGTGAACATCAGAAAACAGAGGTGCAGTTCTTGACACTGGACAGGAACAAACTGCACTTTGGCTAGGTGGGAGCTCACAGCACATGCCTGGGCCCAGGGGTGGGCATATGCTGGACACGTGGGTCACCACAGGGCATCCATAGGTAAGGGAGCCCTCCTCTTCCTCCTCCTCATTAACCTCCCATTTCTCCTCCACACTAGCGCAGGGGTTCGAGGGTGCTGCCTTCCTGGGGCTCCCCTAGAGCAGTGTAAATAATCCTGAACACGGGCTGGACCCTACGGGCCCCTCCTGCTCTGCCTAGCAGCTCCAGGTTGGGTTCCGCCAGGCCCCGAGTGGCCTGTGAGCCGGGGGGCATGCTTAACTCAGAGCCCATGGGAGGGGCGTCTGGGCGTGGCCCGACGGGGCAGAGGACCAGGCCAGAGCCCCCAGCGGCCCCACCTCCAGCCTCTGCTTGATGGGTCTGGGCTCTCTGCTCGCATCTCCCGGGACCCGTCAGGGCCCTGGGTCCAGCCCTGACTGATCTGTGGGCCGTTTGGCCTGGGTTGGTGGAGTCCCTTATGGCTGGCACAGAGGTGGGGCACACGGTCTGAATTTGGCTGCCCTGTCCCTCTGCCCCGCTCAAGTCCCCTGCTATTTGTGTAAGCTGCACCTTCTCCTTGCCAAAGGGTTCCTGCTGCCTGCTAGGAGAAGGAGAGCTGGAGTATCGTGAGCCTACGCTTCCTAGGGCTCGGGGTGGCTCATGGCCCCAGCCCCTGCCGCGTTTCCCGACACCTCTCCTGCATTGTCTTGCACCTGCCCTGCTGGAGATTGCTCGTCAGCCTTAGGACACATGGCCTGGCCATGGTCTTCCTCCCTGGCGCCGTAGTAGCATGGCAGCCACTTGCGCTTCAGCGTGTAGGGAACGCCTTCCTGGAAGGTCTGGACGCTGACCTCGCCAGTGGGTTCTGCCTGCACAAAGACCTGAGGCACGGGGACGCCGGCCTCGGCTCTGGCCTGTCGGCTGGGGACCCTCCGACCCCTTCCTCCCTGCTTGTCCTTCAACACCAACATAGTGGTCTCCCACTCCTCCTCATCTCGAACGAGTTTCATTAGCTCCAGAAAAGTGGGAGGACAGGCTCGCTGATCAAAGATCTCTAGCTTGCTCCGGAGACTGCTGGCCATGGTGGCTCGAGCTAGGATATGCTTCAGGCGAATCGTGTCTGTGCTGTGCACCGACAGGGGGCTGTGCTGCAAGGCCTTTTGCAGTACAGGCTCTAAGCGCAGCAAGAAAGCAGAGACCTTCTCCCCGACCTTCTGATAGGTCTGGAGGAACCTAAACTGGGAGGTTCTACTATCCTCCTTGTCCCCAAAGATGAGCCTCAGGGCGTCCAGGCACTGCTCCACAGTTATGGAGTCATCATTGGCCCGGAGCACACGCATGATGGCCAGGGCGGGCCCGCGCAAGCTCTCCAGCAGGCGCCGTCTCTTCTCTAACTCAGACACCTGCCACATCTGCATGGTGTCAGCAGCCTGCTCTAGCCAGCTCTCAAAGGTCTCTTCGCCTGGGCAAGCAGTGCCCGAAAACACTCTCAGTTTGCGGTACCACAAACTTTCTCGCGTAGGCTGCCAAATGGGCGCTCTGACTTGGGCCAAGACCCCTGGCTCCTCGTCCTCAGTAGGGAAGGCGCTATACCCCATGGCTCTGGCCACATCTGCCATTCTGCGGCCCTCCTCTTTCAGGAAGAAGCTTAGTCTATTGACAAATGCATCGTCTGGGTTGCGGGGTTTTACCACCACTTCCCAGAAGCCTCCCTTTCCCAAAATCTGACTAGGTATGGTGGCATAATTAACGGCATCAGCCAACTCGATGAAGACCGCCTTCGCGTTGTCTTCCCGTCTGAACATCCTGCCCAGCACCCTGTATGTGCACAGGGGCTTCAAGCCTGTCCTCACCGTCTCTTTTATTTCCGCCTCACTGCACTCAAGGGGGATGCCCACCACCAGCAGGGCCTTCCTGGGGTCCAGGTCCATCCCCTTGCACCAATCCTCTAGCAGTGTCACCGCCATTGCTACCCCTAGCTACAGATTGGTCTAAGGCCGGGCAAGGAGTCAGCTCAGAGTTTCACTCGGACTCAGAGAATTCCGAGCCAACGCCAAGCAGAAAGGCAGGAGCGTTCCAGGTCTCCACAGCCTGTAAGGCAAATGGGGTGAGAGCATCGTCAGTGCCCACCCCATCTCCTCCTCTGCAGCCCGTCCCCGGGCAGGGATGTGGTCCCTGCTTCCCAGGGCTCCCGAGGTCCTTTGAGGAGGGTAGAGTGCGGAGGCCTCCCCCAGCCAGGGATCCCTCCACTTCCCGCTGACCTCCTCCTGTTGTGGGTTCCTCCTGGAAGTCCGTGGGAATCTGCTCTACGTGCCACAAGGACCTATGGGGAAAAGTCAACATCAGGAGACAGGGCGTGCCATCTGGGACCCTGATAAAGCCCTGCAGGCACGAGAGGGCAGGAGAATGCCCCACTGCTGGCTCAGGGCTATGCAGGTCCAGGTCAGCCGGCACCTCCTTCCGGAGCCAAGGCTGGCAGCAAGAGATGCGGAGCCCTCTTTCTCAGGACAAGGTGACCAGAGCTTGGCACCACGTGACGAAGAGTGTGTGACATGCTGCAGTGTCCGTGGATATGAAGAGCAGTGGGCCATGAGTCTGGGGGGGTCACATGGTAAGGTTAAGGCCATGAGGAACAACCAGTGATGTTCCCGGCCACCAACCAATGATGTCCTAGGAAAGGGGAGGGGAGGTGGGCAGTGAAGGATGTGTGCAGGAAGCAGACATCGCTGGCCTTACACATGGCCCTACCCCACAGACTCTGAACTCTGGCAGGCCATCCCTCCTTTCTGCTCTGTGCCAGGGTTACAGACGCACCTCCCAGCTGCTCACCTCGCTCAGTCACCCTGCTGGCAGTGAAGATGCTGCGACTCTGCAGGTGCTCGGCGCTCGGCCTGCCCTCTAGCTCAGCTCAGCCGGGCAGTCCCTGGCCGTCCAGCACAGGCCGTGGGTCCTGCGCCACTGAATCTGTCCAAGGCAAGGCAGAGGCATTTTGCTATGGTTTTGCCCCATATGTGTCCCTGCTTAGCCCATGCCGACTTGGAGTCTGTCACGGTGTCTACTTGGGCCCTGATGCAGGGACACAAGAAACTGCTCAGCTGGGGGCTACTGTTAGGACAGAAGGAATCTGCTACCCTGTTCCCACTGCAAACCCCACCCCTTCACAAGCCCCATCCCTGCGGCCAAACTCTAGCCACCTGAGCCCCACACTTGCCCCACCCATACCCAAGCCCTGCACCTGCTACTTCAGTCCTGTTCCTACCTGTATTTCAGCCTGTACCCCCACCTGATATCTGCCCACCTGCCTGCGCCCCTCTACTCACCTTTAACCAGACCCTGCCTCGCCAGTATTGTAGCCCTGTCCCCACCCATGCCCTAGACCTGCCCCACCCACTACACTAACCAAGGTAACCAAGCCCTGCCCTCACCCACAACCAAGCCCTGACGCCAGCCATACTTCAGCCCTGCCCCCACTTGCATTCAAGTCCAACCCCTCACCCATCACCAAGCCCAGCCCCCATCCACAACCAGTGTCCCCAATGGCACATAAGCCCTGCCTCCCGCCCATCACCAGATTCAGCCCCTCTCCCATAACCAAGTGATGTCCCTGCCCATTCTTAAGCCTTGACCCATTAGTGACCAAACCTTGCCCTCACCTATAACCAAGCCCTGCCCCCACCCATACTGAAGACCAGCCCACACCCTTCCGGTCCTTAA